GATAATGAGTCAGTTGATTTTGTCAATCAAGTTGTTAACCCAAAAATGTCTATATTCCGATTTGATAACGCTTGCTAATCGAAACGTTACACCGAGGATGCAACGACTATGATTGAATTTAAAGAAAACTGATCAAAAATTCAAAAAAAAACTTCAAAAAAAGGTTGAATTTATAAAAAAAGAAACGTTGAACTAAGCCGACAGAATTAAGCAGACAGATGATAGTCTAAAATGGACAAAATTTTCCAGTTTGCATAAAATTCCTCACTGGAATCGAACTCCCATGCTTTGTCGTTTCAAGCATGGGCAAATCAAAGCAGCAAGCAAGCAAAGAACTCGTGCTTGAACTGAAATTGAATTTATCTACAGAAACCATTTAATCGATTAAAAGAAACCAAAAAAATAAATATTGAAAACCAGAGTTGATAAAGTTACTAAGTAGAGAACAACTTTCAACTCTATTGGAAAAGTTTTAAAACTGAAGAAAAGTTTATGCTTCGGAAAAAATTTGAGGAAAAAAAACGTGTCTGTTAGCATATCCGCTCTTGAAAAAAATTGGAAAGTGAGCCAACAAAAACGAGGATGAAAAAAAGGAAAACGATAAGAGATTTGAATTCAAACATAATTTTTTTCCAGTTGATTTGAAAACTTATTTACTAACGTATAACCGTTTAGTAGTTAGAATTGAAATCTCAGGAATTGAGCATGACAGAACGTGAAAAACTGGACGAATTTTCAATTTCTTACAATTAATCTAAGAAAAGTTGTTCATGGGGAAAAGTTGAATTCCCGATTACAAGACCCTTGTTCTCGCAAGCTTGAAGAAATTTTCGTTAAAAAAACACTAGTTCTGTTACAAAAACTGATAACAGGAAAATTTTCTGCTCCAATTGACAACGCTTACTAATTGCAAATGTAGCAAAAAGGAATGCGGATAATTTTTCTTAATCTAATTCATTAATTTTCAGAAAAACTCTTTTGTCAATCCCGCATTTTTGCAGAAAAAACAAGAGCTGCTAACTTTAAAATATCGATTGTTTGAAAGTTTTTGATAACTTACTTTTTCATGTGTTCAAAAACGAAAATCTTCAATTAGTTAACCAAAATATTAACATTGAACTAAAAAACCGAAGGCGAAACAGAGAAAAACAAATAAAACAAATGAATAGTGTGTATGTCACATCGCTGCCTAAGTACAAAAACCTTCCATATAATACACTAAAATTTGAGAATTTATCTTTTGGAAAATCTTTCCAAAATAGGAAAGTCAAAAATAGCTTTTAGTTATACAAACATATTTCTTATTTAAAAAAATTTGTAACTCTACAACGGCTATAAAACAATTATTAAATTACTCTGCCTCAATTTGATTATTGAGGAGCATCGGGTTGACTCTTCAAAAGTCAAGCTTGATTTGTTTTCAAAAGTATAAATATTTTTGAGAAGAATGGTATGAGGAGGTACTAAAAATGCACATTTCATAAATTCTACCTAAATTTAGTCGCCCGACGTATGAACAAAAATCTTCAGTATAGTTTTATTATATGATTTCTTCCAATTTTCAACATTTTTAAACAAGGTTCATGGTATTGTGTATGAAGAGCTTCTGAAACTAGTTTAAAACTCGTAATTCAGATTGAATATCCAAAAACTTCAGAGAAAAATGTTTCGCGGAAAAAAAACACATGTTAGCAAATTCTTCATCAAGTGTGTATCAATAACGCACAAACAAATTGAAAAGCAGAAAACTTTTCCACAATTGCAAAAAAAACACACTTCAGAAGTTATTTTAAAATTCAATTTGTTTCAGAGATGGGAGAAAAAGAGTCTATAGAGAATTTTTTTCAACAAAACACTTTTTTTAAACAAAATCTAAGTTTTCTATCGCAAAGCGTTATCTGTTTTTCATTTAGCAAATGAATCTGAAGTAAACCGAAAAAGAAACATTAGTTAAATCGCTAAAACAATTTTAATTTTTGAAGTGACTTTTCAAGCCCATTTCAGTAAAAATGAAAAATAAAATTAGGTTGACTCAAATAAGTGAAAAACATTTTCATTCATTGCAATTCAAACTCTAGTTATGGGGCAGAAGTGCAATTTTGATAGCTTTTCCTATCGCAAGAAAAACTTTTCTATTTGTTTTTAACATATCTATTATGCTGCTTCGCCTGCTGTTGAAACAAAGATTTTAACTTATCAGCCAGGAAATTCTGACCAAACTGTCAGAATTGTATTTTATTATCCTGAAAATTGATAATCTGATTCTTGAAAAAAAAATTTGAGAACGTTAGTTTTTGATGAAAAGTTCTTTTAAAGCAGTTTAAAACAATTCTTTTTCAAAACTGTCGTCTTTCGATTCTGCTTGATGACGAAAAAGAAATTTGAATTATTACTCTCAATCCCTCATCTAAGTTCTGTTGGATATTAAAAACTCTTTTTCTAGCCTAGTATATAATTTCTATAGTATAGTTGTCAAGAAGCAAGTTTTTACTTCGCGAACATAAAACCGGGGCACTAAACATTTTGAAACTAAAAAAAAACACAAACTCACCCTCGAAATAAGACAAGCCTTGAAAACATAATTTTCGAGCAACGAGAATAGAGACCCAAGCCACGAGCTTGTTAGACAAATGCTTACTAACTATATCAAGGCCACTCCGCTAATATCACAATCATGATTACTAAGAACCAAAATCAACTAATGCACTTTTTTCAAAGGAATTTAGCTCCTGTTCTGTTTATCAGCCTGTCTCAGTTTTATTTGCAATTTATTTCAGCGCGAAGTTTGGATTTATTGTTCGCGCTCAAATAACTTTCGCTAAATCCTGAGCAGGCGCCAGTTTTCAGATTTCCTTCAGGGGGTAGAATTTCATCACTTTTTTTTCAAGTCTGGCCCAATTGATTTGGGCTTTGCAAAAGACCAAAAGAAATCCGCTAGAAGTTTCAGCGTCATACATAGGGGAGTTTTTTGAATAAAAAGGGCATGTACTGTTTTTGAAAACTCATTGGATGTTGGAAAAAAAAACATCGCGATTTTCGGAGCACGCAGTCTTCACAATTGGAGTTATGTATGCGCCGAAGAAGCATTCAAAAAATGTTTTGACGGTCGGCCAAAGGTGGATGATAGAAATGAAATAATACCAAAAGAGGGTTCCTTTGTGCGGGCAGGGACCAAAAACCTTAAGAGGCCTTAAATTCGCAACTTCTGAGCATCATTGTGTTCTTTTTTAAAAGGGTATCAGAAAAGTACTGTACACAGAGCTTCGCATCACTTGCTATTGAACCTAAGTGTAGAAATGCAGGCTAGCGAAAAAAAAAGAAGGAAATGAATCTTTTTAAAATAAGTTATTTTTGAAGTTAAAGTAAAGTGAACATAACCAACATACAGTTGTATAAGAATCTATGAAGGCTAATTATTTGAAAAACAGCTTGCTTTTTGAAAAACATTTCAATTTTTGACAAAAATAAAGATAACTTATAACCTCTTTGAATTCCTTGGACAAATCACGATTTAAATTTTTTAATCAAATTTGTGAAAAGTGAATCAATTAGTTAAGTTTTATTCCGCTGAAAATCTGAAACTTAAACTCCACATTCGAAACTAGAAGTTGATCACTTGCTGTTGGAAGTAGGAGTTTGCTTTTCTTTAGCATAGGAAATGCAGTGAATCTCAAAAGAAATTTGAAGTCAAAACTCAAAAAATTGAAATTTGAGACCTTTTTCTGAACAAAATTCATCATGACCTATATAAGAGTCTCCACTAAATTCATCGACTCAAAATTTTTAAAAGTTTTAAGCGAATAAGTTTCAAAACTAAATTATGTATCACAAACCATTTAGCCCTTTAAATTGACCAAAAAATTGACTAGTCTAATAAAAGGTTCAAAAATGATTTAAAAAAAAGGTAAATACACGATGCCAACGGCAATAAATTTACAAATTGCATGAGTAAATCAACAACTTTTAACTACAACTGAACTTGCTTCCAGCACAGGAAAACTCCGTGACGAGGCAACTAAGCTGACAAAGCACAAGGAGTAAAACGAAAGTCAAACAATTAAACTTTTCCAAAAAAAAATGAAATTCAAGCATATTTCAAACATAAGGGTCGTTAAAGAATTCAAATCCCAAGCCTTTGAGTGCAATAACGGCCGCTTTACTTCTAAATCAACTAATTAAAAAACATATTTTACCACGAAAACTGTTCCCCTACTAAAGTCGAACCTACGCCATTGACCACCTACAGCTTTGGACTATTTTCCACTTTCCCCCAACCGGTGCATTTCAGTATTGAAAACAAATTTTACGCTGTCATGATATGAAATTTTGCATGGTGAATACAGTTGGTCTTCATATCTTACATCGTAACATCACGCACTCAGCCATAATAACATGCAAGACAACTGAGAAAATAAAAATTTTAAATGTAGGGGTGGTGAAGTGGATAGAGCCCAGCTTTGGAGTCTACTGCCTCAGCAGTTCAGCTATAAGAGCACGCTGTCATCCAAATACCAGTTATTAATAGATTGGCTGGTATTTATCAAATGTTCATACATACACTAACTTTGGAATGTTTGAGAAAGTGGCGCTAATTTATGCGAGTTGGGTTAGAAAAAATTAGATCCGTAGTATAACAATCGTTTGCTTGAGTAGATAGCGACTTTGGTTGAAAAATTGCGAAGTGGCCATATAAAACTTCACTCTGTGTAATTAAGCTGCTAGTATCTTGTTCCTTGAGTTTTCCTAAGCGCACACCTGCAACCACAGGACGTCTCAACTGTTTTATATTTTGGCTGGCAAATATTTTTTTTTGAACATTCTGAGATACGGCAACCGTCTATCTTTGATATTTTTTAACCCTTGGTACAAAAATGAAGTTACGTTTCAACAATGCTTGCGCATCAACAACGATAGTTCCACTTTGAGAGCAACTATGCATGCTAATAATTGCAAGAACTGCCTGTCGTCATCCAATCGCTCAACCTAGCGCATAATATTAATATCAGAGAAACATTTATTATTAATTAATATAAAAATAAAACTTTGATAGATGGCCTTTAAATAATGTCCGATGAACAGCTCAAGCTTTCCCATGCTTGGCTCAATGTTAGCAGTTTAAATTGTCTTCTATATTCTATATCCGTAGCACTCGTCAATTGCTCGCACCAGACTATCTGGAGTAAATTTCACGTACTTCTCCCTGAACTTCGTGAATGGCAGCTGATGGTACCTGAAACATGCATGGATGGAAGATTTGTTTGCAGAGAGTCGTTTCAAAACGATTAAGATGATTTATACGCAGAGGCGAAACTACACTTTACTAACACACAAAAAAATCAAACTTGAGCTCTAAAAAACAGCAAAAAGAAAAATGCAAGAAAAAATCAAATATGCCTTGAAATCAATTCGAAAAAACAAAAACTTCAAAAACTACTCGATTCGAAATCGAACCTTTATCCCAAGACTCGCATCCCTTAACCATTTAGCTATGGCATCTTTCGCATACTTCCTAAACTCTATTCTCAGATATCAGACAGCAAAGAATGCGCTTTAAAAATCGGATATAGTTCATTTAGTTAATTGAAATCAAATCCCTTTCGACTAATTCCATTTTGAACACTTTTGAAATGCCCATTCCGTCGTCAAAATTTCAGAGCGATCATGATTAAGAATCGGTTATACAGCTGAACTAATTTAGGCAAGCGCCTGTTCAGCAGAAACAAAATAAGTTAACTCATACAAAATTACGAGAACCCGAAGTTTAAAGCATGTAGAATAGCCCACATCCACTTACATCGATATCCAATTCCGCAATTGCAAGTAGTTGAAGACGAGAGATGGTGCCGGTTAATTAACGTTAATAGAGACTACAAAATGTCGAAAAGGTGTCAGTGAGCTCCAGCCGACAAAAAAAAATGACTTTTGAAAAATGTAACTATTGAGTATCAAAAAATTAATTTTCAAGTTTCTTGATTTCAAGAATTTTATATGATGAAAAAATGTCTGATAACTTTTCACTCAATTCGAGGTAGCTGAATCAATATGTACTTTTGCTGGGATTTACGTCCAAAAGTAAAAGTCAATGCTTTGTTTCAGCCATTAGCACTCGAGTTATGGAAGAGCTTAACTTGCCGTTTTGAATTGACCTTGAAAAAAAAGGACCGATCAAATAACACTGCTACCGCAAGGTGGATTGCGTGCAACAGGTGGAAGTGATACTAACTCGTTGTAGAACTTGGCATATGGCTGTACAATGATAGTCTCAATTTCTGCCCTGATGTCTTCGTAGGCCGCCTGACTGGGAATGGAAAGTGTCTTGTGTAAGTTAGTGACCACTTCGAAGTCAGTGTTGAAGGTACTGAACAGGTTCTTCAGACTCTCGCGCTCCACGTCTGTCATCTTAAACACATCCAAAAACAATAAATTAAATAACAAAGCTTGCAGTATTCAGCTAAATAAAGAGCAGCAAAATATACTGATGTATCATTCACACTTAGACAGTTCTGCAGGCATTGAAAAGATAAGGACAAAATTTAAAATCAATTATTAATTTTGAAAACATTTTGAAATTATCAACTTTTTGTGACACGAAGCTAATTCTTCAAACGAACTATCACCTTTCATTTTGAGCGTAATACTTAGATTCTAGTCATATCCTAGATTCTAGACATATGGCGAGCACACTGTGATTGTGACTAGCTTAAACTCAGTTGTCATCCAATGCTCTATCGTTCAACAGCCCGATCAGTCGTATCACTGACCTTGATTTGATCAAGTCGTCCAGTATTAATCTTGTCTTTGTACACTTTCAGTTCACTTGGTGCAATATTCGGTTTTCTGTTTAGGTTATTATTCAGTTTTCTCCAGCTAAAACACGATTAATCGATCAGATCGTACACTTGAAAGTGCTCTGAATTGATGCATGTGCATTTCCAATAAACATTGCCAACTGACAGTTGGAAAAGAGTAATTAACGGAAGGAAACTGAAAAAAAACTTACTTGTTTTTCTAAAAAATCTTCAACTTTTGAGTTTCGAAGAAAAAAATAGATGGCGTTAAAGCTCTTTGAATATATATAACAATTTAATATGGGCACTTTGTTCTTAAAATTAACTCAATTTGAGAAAACTGGATCCTAATTTGAGAAAACTGGGAATTCTGATAATTAACTTCCATTTTGGAAATTAGAAATGGATCACGTTTATGGTGACCTTTACAATTTTGCTGTTCGATACTGGAGCTTGCCTTCCTTTTAACAATGGTAATGCACTGAACTTGAAAAGAAATCACGAATCAAACCGCCAAATTTTTCCTGTAAAAAAATCACCAAGACCTATTAAGAGTACTCACTACTTTCATTACTCTTAAAATTAGAAACATAGCCAACAGACAGTTATGAATTGCTTTTTGAAAAAATCTCACTTTCGAAGAAAAAAGATGATCTAAAAGCTCTTTGAATTTCTAGAAAATTCATAATTCACACTTTTTTGATAAAATTTACCCCATTTGATAAACTAGACGAATAGAATATTTTTTTATTCCGCTGGGAAAACTGCAAATTAAAATCCAATTTCAAAATTAGAAGTCGATTAGTTTTGTTTTTCGTGACATTTACACTTTTGCTGTTCGATAGTGGAGTTTGCCTTCCTTTCAACAAATGAAATGAACTCAACTTATAAAGAACTCAAGTTAAAAAGAAATCTAAAGTCCACCCGCGAAAAATCAAACTTGAGCGTAAACGAATTTTATAAGACATTCCTGAAAAAAAAAACATACAAAATCATTAGCACCTGTATAAGAATACTCAATTGATGACAAGGAGACGAGTCTGATCCAGACAGTGAACTTATTAGGCAATTGTAAGGGACAGTAAAGCAAAAAAAAACAAGCAAGGCACTCAATTAGAAGAAATTGATAAGCCGAATGATGAGTCACTATTTATTACAGCAATCATATTTTCGTTCGATTTGATGGCAGGCAAATTGTGAAAACGTTAATCGTTTCCCGACAAAATGTCTTCAATTTGTCTGTTTAGCTCGTTAAAAAATTCACTGTCTAGATCAGATCCTTCTCCTGATCATTCACCGAATACTGACTACGTTCATGACTGTGAAAAACGAAAGAGAAAACTGGATCACAAGGTGTAATTTTTATATAGCTTGGAAACCCGATAATTAAATAGCATTTTACAAATAAGAAGTCAACCACATTTTTTGTGACTTTTGCACACGTGGAGTATTCACTCCTTTTAACAAAGGAAATGAAGTGAACTTGAAATTACAGAGGCGAAGTCGCACTTCGCACGCACAAATAAAAATATGACCGATAACTCTACTGGGAAAAACTGAACTGAGTATAACTTTGAGTCTACAAAATTTCTTATGTGACGCACGCCAATTGTGAGTCTACATAATCGCTAAGTGACGCAAGCCAATTATGGCGCTTTAGCAGTACCAGTCAATTAAAAAAAAAATTACCAACTAACATACCTCAATTTATAGAGCGGACGCTTTTAGCTAGTATACGAAAAAGTTCATTGCAAACATCCGACCCTGCCCAGGTTCCAACCCTCTTATGTTGTTGCGGGTCTCTTTCCCTACCTCTACCCTACAAATCCATGATACCTTGAAACTAAAGTGCTATTTGTAATATAATAGTCGGTTTATATCCTTAGCATTGGCTGTACTTAATAGCTGGTTATTGATCAAAATGAACACTTTCAAAATGAACACATTTTGTCGCTACAATATTTGCGTCGCAACAATATTTGCGACTTAGGTTGGAAAAAAGAGATTTCATACTATCACACAAGCTTTGCTTGTGTAATTATAAGACAAACCGCGAAAAAAAATTGAGCCTTAACAATAAGACTTTTCCTTAAAAAAAACATAAAACATCATCGCGACCTATATATGAATCTGATCAACTTTCATCGGCTCTTAAAAAGCAGACTTCGCTCATTTACAATAAAACACTAAATTTCATTTAGTGCTTAGAAGCATAAAATAAATATCGTAATATTCAGGGGTGGAAAAGACTTTTGTTATCACTTACCAGGACATGAAGTCCATTCGGATGACCTGCACATTTCTAGCAATGGCTTCCTGCACAGGTTCACAACAAGAGATCTCTGCCACGTCAAATCTATAAAAGGACACCGGACGTTTTGAATCAATTACAACCCACGCGTATGTCAAATGCGTCTTTTGAATTGTGAAAACAAATCACATTCCAGATATCAGTCACGAAAAAATTGATTTTGACTATGTGCAATTGAGCCGATCCAAGAAGAACATTCGAGCATGTAAAACCTAAACAAATACCAAAAAATTTATGGCGGACACTTTTTTGATGAAAATAACCCAATTGGAGAAAACTGGATCAATAGGTATAATTTTATTTTTGCTGGGAAATCTGATAATATAATTCAATTTTCGAAATTAGAAGTCGATGATCTTTTTCAAGACCTTTATATTTTCGCTGTTCGATACTGGAGTTTACCTTCCTTTTACACATATGTGGATCTCCGCTTCGCAAACACTAGCCAGCATAAGATAAAAAAAAAGTAGCTCTAGAGTTCTAAAAAGTGCAATAAGTAAAAATAAGCCTCGAATTAGTAAAACTTCGGCATCTCGGATTCCAACCTACGACCTTCTGCGACCTAAAAGCTAAGAGTCTCACACACTAACCACTCAGCCACGCACGTATGAAGTTTGCCTTCCTTTTAACAAACGAAAATAACTGAACTTAAAATCAAAATTCAAACCGCGAAAAACCAAATTTGAGCCGGAATAAATTTTAAGACTTTTTCTGAAAGAAAAACAAAAAGTCACCACAGCCTATACAAGAGTCTTCACTACGTTCTCATAGACTCTTAATAACATAATCTCAAGGGTAGGAAGCTACCTTTTGATTGAGTCGAGAACGAAATTGAGGTTGTTGAAAATGAACAATTTGTCTCTGTTGTCATCCATGGGAGTGCTCTTCGACAGCGCTGGACTCAGCTTACTACACAGACAGCCTTAAAAACCAGTCAATTAATAACCAAACAATTATGCTTTTGATGACTCTTACCGAGCAAGGAAAAACAAAGGCCCGGAAAACTTCGAGCGTACTATAGCTGAATGATGAAATTTCTTTAGATTATTCATTGATTATATAACATACTGAACAGTGATGATATGATTTCGCGTTCTCTCGTAGCATCCATCTGGTAAAACTCTCTTGGTAAAAACTGTGGTTTCCCAGAATTATCTCCAGTCAATACCGCAGAAGCCACCCGAGCCAGTTCCGAGTTGGAGCTGAAGTTCACAATTACGGCATACAGGCTTCTGTAGAAGAGGATGAGATCCAAATATGTCATTGACTGAAACACAAGGCAAAATTGGTGAATAATAGGCAGCGCCTAGCTACTGGAAACAGGAAACACGTTGCCTGTTTACAAATATTGCACATTTCCAGTTGCCCTGACACATTTAGTCAGTCATGTCGAGAAAACAAAACAGAACAGAGAAGGTAAAATGAAATCAATTTTCAATAGCCTAGCTACAGGAAACAGGGAACACGTTGCCTGTTTAAAAACATTTCACATTTCTAGTTACCCGGACACATTTAATCAGTCATGTCAAGAAAACAAAACAGAACAGAGAAGGTAAAATGAAATCAATTTTCAATAGCCTAGCTACTGGAAACAGGTAACACGGTGCCTGTTTACAAATATTGCACATTTCCAGTTGCCCTGACACATTTAATCAGTCATGTCGAGAAAACAAAACTGAACAGAGAAGGTAAAATGAAATCCATTTTTAATAGCCTAGCTACAGGAAACAGGAAACACGTTGCCTGTTTACAATTATTGCACATTTCCAGTTGCCCTGACACATTTAATTAGCCATGTCGAGAAAACAGGACAGAACAGAGAAGGTAAAATGAAATAAATTTTCAATAGCCTAGCTAGTGGAAACAGGGAACACGTTGCCTATTTACAAATAATGCACATTTCCAGTTGCCCTGACACATTTAATCAGTCATGTCGAGAAAACAAAACAGAACAGAGAAGGTAAAATTAAATACATTATCAACAGCCTAGCTATAGGAAACAGGGAACACGTTGCCTGTTTACAAATATTGCACATTTCCAGTTACCCGGACACATTTAATCAGTCATGTCGAGAAAACAAAATAGAACAGAGAAGGTAAAATGAAATCAATTTTCAATAGCTTAGCTACTGGAAACAGGGAACACGTTGCCTATTTACAAATATTGCACATTTCCAGTTGCCCTGACACATTTAATCAGTCATGTCGAGAAAACAAAATAGAACAAAGAAGGTAAAATGAAATCAATTTTCAATAGCCTAGCTAGTGGAAACAGGGAACACGTTGCCTGTTTACAAATATTGCACATTTCCAGTTGCCCTGACACATTTAATCAGTCATGTCGAGAAAACAAAACAGAACAGAGAAGGTAAAATTAAATCCATTATCAATAGCCTAGCTACAGGAAACAGGGAACACGTTGCCTGTTTACAAATATTGCACATTTCCAGTTGCCCTGACACATTTAATCAGTCATGTCGAGAAAACAAAATAGAACAGACAAGGCAAAATGAAATCAATTTTCAATAGCCTAGCTACAGGAAACAGGGAACACGTTGCCTGTTTAAAAATATATCACAATTCTAGTTGCCCTGACACATTTAATCAGCCATGTCGAGAAAACAAACAGAACAGAAGGTAAAATGAAAACAATTTTCAATAGCCTAGCTACAAGAAACAGGGAACACGTTGCCTGTTTACAAATTTTGCACATTTCCAGTTGCCCTGACACATTTAATCAGTCATGTCGAGAAAACAAAACAGAACAGAGAAGGTAAAATGAAATCCATTTTCAATAGCCTAGCTAGAGGAAACAGGGGACACGTTGCCTGTTTACAAATATTGCACATTTTCAGTTGCCCGGACACATTTAATCAGTCATGTCGAGAAAACAAAAAAAAACAGAACAGAGAAGGTAACATGAAATCCAAGTTCAATAGCAAAAACAACAGCCAATCGAAGAGTGGAAAAGAGTAATGAACGCAAGTGTACATAAAAAAAATACTGACTTTGTTGAAAAATCTCCAACTTTAAATTTCGAAGAAAAAATAGATGCCCTTTAAGCGCTTCGAAATTCTAGAACGAACTATGATTGGCGCTTTTTTGATAACATTAACCCAACTTGAGAAAACTGGATCAACAGGTAAAGTTTTTATTCCGCTGAAAATCTAAAAATTAAATTCCACTTTCGAAACTACAAATCGTTCACGTTTTTTGCGCCATTTCCACGTTTGTATTTGGAGAGTGCTATTTACGTCACTTTCAGCAGATACATTTCAATTGAACTCAAAAAGTGCATATATACCCAAGTGCATTCATACATTTGTAGTTATTAGAGCATTCTAAGACTTTTCCTAAGAAAAAACAAAAAAAAATTAGCAAGACCTTTATAAGAGTCATCGCTACGTTCATTACTCTTAAAAGCTTGAAAACAGAACACTCAAACGAGACGCTCAAAACTCTATTTTTCTCTCAGCTCAACCAAATTCTTCAACTTAAGGTAATTTGTTTTCTTGACTGGGTTAAGACATCAAATTTCCCATTATGTTACAGTATTTTTCTACACTGCGTTTTGTCATCTACACTGATTATAATTTCTAACTGGCTGCATATTCATCCGTATCTTACATTTCCATACCTTGACTGTGAGCTCGTCTACTGTCGCATCAACAGGGACGACTCGGTTCTCACTCTGAAACAAAAACAATCAACTAGCCTAAATTCGTAAGATTTTTTTTCCGCCATAAGCTCATAGCGACAGTTAGAAAAGTGCCAATGAACTCAAGGAGACAAAAAATGATTGATTCTTGTTTTAATGTTGATCTTTCTTTAAAAAATTGCATCCGCTTAAAGCTATTAGAAATTTTATGATAGAAATTTTTTATTGATAACCTAGATAACCCAATTTGAGAAAACTGGATCCATAGCAATCTGCAATGTCATGGGCATTAACAGCATGAACGTTGACTTGTTTGTAAAGCACTCGGGATAGTTTGAAGGAAAAAACCGCGCGATCTTTGGAAGTGTCTTGGCTTAATTGACATTTAAGGGGTTCTATAAAATAAGATTTTTTCCTCTGATAAACGACGGCGTGTTAATCCTTTCTTAAAAACGCTCATTTTTAAAAGGCTTAAATAATGATAAATCAGCGAGCTTAAGAAAAAGAATCAGTAGGTTTCTGTGATCAAAAATTTTCACGTGAAAAAAGTCTAATACACGTTTCAACACACTTGCTCTCCCAAATACAATGATATAAGGCAATGAACGCGCGAAAACAATTGCGCATGCTATTACCGAAGATATTCGGTCCTTCAAATTGTTTCATAATGACCGAACTCTCATTCTAGTACCTTGGTTCTGCAGCACGTTGTGGGTTCACGCATGCACCAGTAGATAAAAATACTCACCTTTATGTTCTCGTAGAAGACGTCTAAACAGAACTTGAGCGCATCCGTCACTTTTCTATACAAAAACAGAAGCTCTTTTTGCATAGTTGGCGATATACGAGTCTGATTTGAGTTAAGGTCTGATTCCGAGGTGGCCAGACCGGAGACGAAGAACTTCAGTCTGATAAACTCTGCTAGGGGGAAGAGACATTGAATGGGCCTCAAATCAGTCTTCGCATTCTTCATCCGGGCAGTACACACGCCAATGAGCTTCTGAAATAATAAAGCAAATAAAACTTTAGAATAAATCACAATTTTAAATTTCCCATAAAACTAACATGAAAATGGCAAGTAGTGTCAAGCTACAAGAGGCTTGATCCAATTTTGACAGCGATCGCAAGTTTTTCCAACTCCCAGGAGACAATCACTTACAGATTTCATGCCAACGTAGCGTGGAGAAATCTAGAGGTACCACGAACTCACCTCAATATCAAAACGCAATTTCTTAGCTGTTTCTTTGCACAGCGCTTCATAAGCTTGAGACACTTTGTTTCGTGGAACAATTTCACCAACTAGTTGAAACTCATTCTAAACAACAATCATCAGAGCTTCAACTAATAACTCTCTCTAATCTGCATTATTTGTCATGCTATTTCATATTTTTTAGCTTTAGTTTACTCACAACTGCGAGTACATGAAACGCGGAGATTATCTGCACGTAAACCATCACATCCACGTCACTCAGAGAAGGATCGGGTAAGAACGAATTTTTCTGCTCTGAAACAAGAAAAGAATATTATCAGGTATCTATGGATCAAACAAACGAACTCATACTGATGTTTGACTACTTTGCAACTGGTTGCAAAACTCGTTCAAGCTACATAACAATGGCAGGCGGAGCAATAAGCAGAATGGTCCAAGTGCAGAATGGGTCCAAGAGCAGAAAAACAGAAAAATATTGACTTATTTTGGTTTATTCGGGCTAATTGATAAAACAATTATTAGAATCGTCAAAAATTACCAAGAAAACGAATAAATTATGCATGAATTGACTAATTTCATTAAGTGTTTTATTACATTTTTTTTAAAAGTTCTTGATTAAATTACTCAAATTATGCATAAAATGTTCATTGCTTAGGTATTACTGACATTTCTGATAATTAATTTACAGATTAGCTAATAAAAGCTTTCTGTTTTTCTGCTCTTGGACCCATTCTGCTCTTAGACCATTCTGCTTACTGACTGGCTACCATAACAATGTCATCAACACAATGATAATAGACTCCACTCCAAAGGATGACTCCCGACTCAAGCAGCTTACATGAACCTTCTCTTATATTATAAAAGACAACGTGAAATACATTCACTTAAAGAAGATCATGTGAAAATGAGCAATTGTCGAACTACAAGAATGCTCATAATGAAAGTCAAACTGAACAGTTGGCAATGACAATTAGATCATGTCACAAAATCAGCAAGATTTCTTCTTTTTATGTATGTCCCGTACCACCTGAGATAACTTCATAAATTTCCTCTATTATTATAACTTTGAAACAAACACAGGTCACGCGACTATTAAAAAAAACGGCACATTCTGACAAAAGAACGCCAATTTCACATGGACCAGCTTACTTTTACATGCTTGAAATACTTTCATTTCGCTGCTAGAAAAACGATGCACTAAGCCATTGTGATTACCATGACATGATTATCATGTCTATGATTATCATTTGTGTGAATGATGATGTTTTTTGTTAGCTGAGCATATATCAGAGCACCAGAATGAGACAGCGGCATGGCTCCACTGACAAGTGGCATAGCGCTGAGTGTGGTGGTCACTACCCCTGCTGTCTCTGAGGCCATTTTGTGGACGACATCTCCCGTGCCCACTACTACATCAGTGGTGAGCACTCCTACCTTCTTAACCCCGCCCACCCCAGTGTCAATTACATTCGAAATACCATCGGCCGCTTTGCCCAGCAGCGAGCCCATTATCGTGTCATTTCCTAATGCCATAAAACTATTTAAATAAATGCCCTGCGTCACGCGGCTTAGTCCCATACAATTTTCAAATGTAAGGCCCATACAATTTCCGAAAGACAAGGCCATACAGCCAAGCCATACTACTTTCGAAACATGAGAACATAGAAGTTTTTGAAACACAAGGCCAACAAATTTACGAAACTTAAGGCCATACAATTTTCAAGCAAAACAAAAAACAATTATTTTATTATTTTTAGCTAAAAATGAAGGATGTTTCACCTTATAGCTCTGCTATTGTCCAGAATCTTTTTTGATTAGAACTTTTTTCAAACAGAGGGAAAAAGAAACAACAACGCTTAAAACTTTCGTCTATTTCATAAACAAAGCTCATTTAAAATTCGTTGGATTTTTCAATCACTCCAATTACCATTTGCTTAATTTCGATTCACCTGGAGACTGTAAATTTCTATATTACAACAGAAAAACTGTTCCGTGATACAGACAACAAAAAAATCTGGTTATGGTTGATAGGGAGACGTAATTCGCTTTAAACCAAACATGTGCTGATAGCTTACTAAGAAAAAGGATGCGGAATGCAAGTTGAACGTAACTCGTTGGAATCCAAAATTTATAAGAATGTTGACAAGAAAAATTCTTGAGCGCCTCTGTACAACTATTACATAGAGGCGCAGCTTCGCTTCGCACACACAAGCGAGAACACAGCAAAAAAGCAGCTCTAGAAAGTGCAATAAGAAAAATAGAAATAAGTCTCGAATTAGCAAAAACTCGGCTAGGTCCAGGATTCGATCTGCGACCTACTGCAATCAAGCGATTTTGAATCTCATCCACTAACCACTCAGTCACGCACGCTTAACCACCGACAAACACTAGTCACGAATAAAGCAGCTATATATGCTAATAAATTGCCAATGTAATTCAGCAAAAGCGGCACAAAATTTAAATAGAGATACGAGATACATTGAGTTGAAAAATTTCTGAAATCGAGTTTTCATTATTGTTATGTTGTTTGAAACAAATCACTTTTTTCGGTTCATTTGATGAATTAAAAATGCATCAACTGTGTTTACTTATCATAATTCGAATATCAAAGCACATGCTATCAGAAAGCTGACATGCTATCAATAGTGGCACCAATATTTGCTTTTTAGGATAGAAAAAATAAAGAAATTCTTAATAATACACTGAGCTGACGCTAATGTAAAGAGATAACATCTACTGGAGTAATTTCCAAGAAAGTTCAAGGGACTGACCTAATCCTACGGACTCCATGTGCACAGAGGGATTGACTCCGACTGTTCGTACCAATCTGCTTCTATATCGCTGATGATACCTTGGAACACGCGGCAGCTCTAAACAATTCACCTCTGATAACTATCAAAAACTAAAAGAATGACAGAAGGATATAAAAACTGAAGAGCATAACAAATGATGAAGAACTTCAAATATAAAATATCACAATCTATTCAAATTAGAACTCTAATTCAAATATTCCCCGCTATTTTCATAGCATTTTCGGGGGTTCATTTAAATCACTTTTAAATGAAGTGCTTAACTGGATCTGAACTCAAAAATTGATTTCGAATGACAAAATCTTTAGAACGATTTTTCGACGTTTCACTGACAAATAACTCAAGACCTAGAAAATAGATTAATCACTTGTTTTGTTTTTAGAAAAAACCCTTCAAGACTTCGGTATCAATTCGAAATGTCTGTGCAATTACTGCTTGATCTATTATAATAATCATAATAATGATAATCATAATAATAATAATAATAAATATAATAATAATAATAATCATAATAATTGTTTCCCAACGATATCTAGTTACAGAGTGATTTTAAAAAATTTAGGAATACAAATTGAATCGTATGGGCGAACACCATTACACGACCCTTTTTCAGGTGTCTCATTAAGCGGAGAACAAAAAAATAATTAACTTCTTCGGTCTAATGGATCGTTCTACTGGTACGCACTTATTAAACGTTTAAGCGTAAGCATCTCTATTCCACTCTTTCAACCCTTTTCTTAAAAAAAAAAATTTTTCGTTTTCTCGGGCAATCTTTTCCACCCATGACCTAGAAACCAAAAAAACAAATTCTGCATATTCAGCAAAAAGTCTCAAAGCATGCCTTACGAATTATTTCCTAGAATCTTATTATGCAAAATTTTATGATGAAAACTATTCAATTGATTCAGAAAAGCCACTTTCAAAAAACTGACCCAGGCGGGAAAAAATTAAAACAATATTAAACATTTTTCGAACTTAAGGTCTAATCGACACTCTGTTGAGTTTATTTCCGAACGTGAGCTATTTATCTTGAACTAACCTGACTTCTGTGAAGTTATGAGGAAGTTGAAATCAGTGGTCTTATGCTTTTCGGTAGCGCTATGATTTCGACATCTATCTGCATATGCTTTCAACATCTGGGCAAAAAAATCGCTTCTGGCTGAGGAATAACTAGACACGATGTCGAAACCCTCGCTGAATCCGCGACAGAGCCAGAAAACCACATCCTTAAGGTCTCCTATATTCCTATCTGGAAACAACAAGATTGTTATACTGACCTGAAACTGACCTGTGTTAATCATTTTCTACAATTTCAAGCTAGTTCTAGTTCTCCTACCTCCAGCAAGGAACCTCTGATTGAGTTCAGACTCAGAGCGTTGAATGAACTCGTCGGTGTATCTATGTAACTGCAATATTAGAGCTTCATCTAATTCTCCGAGTGCATGCAACTCGCTTCTGAAGTGTGCGAACAGATTTTCGTTTCCTTTGGCGAAGTCGTTTTTCTGGAATAAATATACCATTAAATTTAGCTATTGCACCAATCTATTATGCAGAAATCTACTGAAGGTTTTTTACCGGCGTAACAAAAGAATGAACAGATTTCCGAACGGGATATACCCCAGAAAACGTCGCTCTAAGAAAAACCCCTTTCTGCTTCAAACCAAATTATCAATTAAGTCGTTCCTTGCAATCGAAACAACAACGCAGATATGAACTATTAGACCAGTTTGGGTAAAATTTCACACAGAGGCGAAGCAGAGCTTCGCACCGCTTGCGATACAAAACTGAATGAGTATTAATACTTTCAAATAAACTGACAAAAAAAATTAAAATTTTAAAAACTCCCAAAAAAAACGAAATCATGGAACTGGTTTACCTTACCTGCACCTTTAAAGTTTTACAAACAGAGGCAAACCGAAGCTTCGCCCTAACTTCAATATAACACATACATAGCATGACCAACTAATCGATTGAAGAAGAGATGAAAAGTGCAGAAACAAATTTCAACACAGATGCGAAGCTGAGCTTCGCATTTCTTGCTATGGAAAAAATGCATGTCTAGAAAAAAGTTTTAAAAAAATAGATTGGAAATAAGTTGGAAAACATTTTCGAAAAGTAAACAAGCACCAAATTCAGTTCGAACCCAACTGACGTTTTGAACTGGCCAGCTATGCAAAATACACGCGATGAAAATATTTGTAAACAGCGCACTGATAAAAAACGAATTCTGATTTTTTTTTCAGATAAGACTATACAATTACCGAACAATTTTGTATCAATTTGCATCAATCAAACCAAGTAAGATGAGGCAAATAACACACCTCAACTGAAACAACTTGAAACGTTTCTAATAAAAACAAACTATTGAAAATGATTAACTTCAATAAGTTACAAAACAATTCAAAATCTAAGAAAAACTTGAACCAAACGAAAACGTACGCAAGAAAGAGACGCTGCTAAGAACAAACAAATGATTTTAAAGAGTTGAAGGCAAAACCAAACGCAGATTTTAATTCCTACAAAAGTTAACTCAGGTCAGACTAAAACAAGTTTAAAGAAAGAAAAAACCTCAAACCAAAAAAAAACGCAATTAATCTGATGTTGCTAAAAAAGACAAAAAAAGAAGCATCATAGAAGCAGTGGAAAATATGATTGAGTCAAGAAACGTATCAATATTATCTGAAAGTGAAATGAATTAATTAGAAGGATTTTTGTCAAATTGACAGCAAAAAAAAACAAGACTTTTTTTCGTAACAATTTCAACACATTGAAACTACTTTCAACTAAAGGCTAACAAAAATTTAATCAAGAACAGTAGCAAACAGCAACTCAAGTTAACGGAGTAAAACAACAAATGCGTCTAGCAATTTTGAACAATATACCAAAAACTATGAGTTGATTTAATTGATTTGATGGGACTTCTGACTTGCTTGGTCTGTATTTTTGAAATGAAATGACTCTTTGAAAAAAAAAAATTAAGAACGCTAAGATTAAAACAAAAATTAAAATTAAATGCCGCAAAACACAAAAGTAAACAAAAACTAATGCTTTTTTATGTGCATCAAAAAGAATGAGACAAATACAACCGATCGAACAACCAAAGCAAAATAAATTCTAAAATTCAAATATTTTTTTTTGTTCAAGGAGAGCTTAAAAATTGTTTCTTTTTGTATGAAGCAAAAACAATAGAAAATGTACAAAACTAGTTGTAAATTTACATATTACTGAAATAAATCAAAAACACTTGCCGGAAAAACGTCTATATTCAGCTGTGATAATGCTTGCTAATAACAAGTAATTATTTGTTTCCAATTGCCAGTAAGTAAGCATTGATTAAAATCACGCACCAGTTCCTTCGCTTCAGTTCCAAAAGCACCGCTGTTGAAAAATTCTTCTGCTTCCTTAATTTCTTTAAGGGCACTTAAATGCTTCGGCACATCAAGGATAGGTCTAAAACAACGGCTAATGTCATCACAAAAAGCGAAATACATCACTTCAAATCCCACAGTCTCGATTTCAAGTGTCAATGATTTCAACGAGACCAAAACTGACAGACTTTCTATGTATTTATTCTAACTTTCGATTATCTGAGAAAAAAATATATCACAATGATGAAACTTACATTTAAAGGATCTTTTATGATTAACACTTTTTTACATAAAACTATCCAATCAGAGAAAACTGTCAAAAAGTATTTTTTAAAAATCCGCTGGGAATTCTACACATTCAAACCCAATTTCGAAACTTCAGATCATTCGCGTTTCTTTTTCGCCATTTGCACCCTCGCTGTTGGAGAGCAAACTCATTTTCAGCAGCTACGTTTGAATTGAATTTATTAAAAGCTGATTTGTATAAACCGGATAAAATGAACAAATAAGAAACTTAGAATGCGTTTTTTCTCCATTTGTTTTTTATCATGTGCAAAATTCGTGCCCATTTTTTCCCAAAACGGGCCATTTTAAGTTAATCAAAGATTGAGCTAACAATCCGTTGTTAATAAATCGCTGCGCACATTATATCAAAATGAGCCTCTTCCGTAGTCCAACAAAGTTGGTTGAAACCAAAATGTTGTGCAAAACGTTTTTAAAAAGATTTCAAATAAAAATGGTATTCTACAAGGTTAAAATGAGTTTTTAGGAATCAAACAAAATGTGCTTTTGTGCAAAATTTGGAAAACAATCTTTCGTTTAATTTTGTTGAACTACATTTGATATAACTTGCTCAGCGATTGACGTCGATTCAAATTCAGCAATCGAATCATATTTTATCAGCTAAAACTCGAGCAATCCCCCCTCCGTAATGCGTAATTACAAATTGAGATATCTTCCCACCCCCAAGCAAACACGGTAATATGCTATAACAAAACGTTATTGAACGCAAGCAGATGGTTGATGTGTTCATAGTACGCAAAGCATTGACCGACTGTAGTTGAATGTATATCAGTGTCGAGAAAAATTCTTTAAAAAGAGTCGAAAACTTTTTTCGAATTTTGCGTGCGCAATCATTGCCTCGAAGAAAGCAAGTTACCATGTTGGGTGCTATAACTTTGCATGTGAATACCGGAGAAAACTGTTTTCCGCATCACGTTTATTGTATGAAACCGCATTTTTTAGTTTTAACACAAAAACCCGACTTTGAATGCATCAGTGTTATTGTTGTGATAACCTTATTAAATAGTTTCATGTGATATGACGATAATGGTAAGCTTGAAATAAGGCCTAAGACGGATTTTAGAGACAAGCTCGTCGAGCCGCAATACTCCAATTCTACCCGGACAACCCCGCCGGAACCTCCACCCGTAAGAAACCAGATTCTAATCGCTTTCTTTTTTGAAATTTGTTTTTAAGTTCCGTTTTTCTACAATCCAATTTAATTCTTTGTTTCGCCTTATAGATACATTTGTACCACTCAAGAATCCGAATTGTTTCTCCCAATCTAAAAGTTAATTTTGGGGCTAATATGTTTTGAAAAGATGGTTATCACTTTTCTTTCTAAGGTAATAAAATTTTCAGTTTATTGCTCGCTCAGCTAACTTGTATATATTCACCATAAATTTACCCTGCTCGCTACCAAATTATGGCCGATCAAACGCACAAACTTATTTGCAAACGCCACCTCCGAAAAGGAGGCATATGATGTGTCAATTGCAAAGCATACATCCATGTCTCATGTAGCAGGCTACAGAGCAGCAAATTTTATTACGATGGGTTCTCCTGCATACAATGAACCCCGAAAACTTTTCAAAAGGGTCCAACTCCACCAACAAGCACAGCTGCCATCACAGCTCAAGAAACATCACCGGCAGCACCCGAAACAAACGTACTGCCCAACGCAACACAATCTAATCCATCGCCCCCAGCAATCACTACAGTCCCCTCAGACCCCTGGAAACTTATCGACCAAGAACTTGAATTTAAAATAAACGACATATATAAAAATGTCGTTTACTTGAAACCGCGCTTCATAGCTATAAGCAAGAACAAGCCCGGTTTGCAATTCATAGAATCACTGAACCAGCGGTTAATGTCATTAGTAGAAGAAGCATCAATTTCTAACGTCGCAATGAAAGCAGCAATGATTCTCCACCATCTGGTGCTCCCCAAAACTAAATCAGAAACAAACGGATCCAATTCCAAAACTCTGAGCCGCCCAGTAGACGAACTCTGAGCTGCCTATGGAAGCAAGGCCTACTAGACGAACTTTTCACTGAAGCGATAGCTCTCCAAATTAGACATCCAAAACAGAAGTGCGAATTAAACAAGGAAGTTAAACAATTCGATAAACTAATGAGTACAGGCAAAATATCTGCCGCCATTGTCTGCCTTTCAGACAAGAAAAGAGAAGGATTATTTCCCATAAACGAAGTCATTGAAGAAAAACTGTCCTTAGTATCCTGAAAGAAAAGCACCCCAAGCCAAAACAGCAAACACTAACTATCTAACTGAAGTGAAGACACAATGCCATACCACCACTCTATATTCGAACAAATAAACGCCAAGACAGTTCGAAAGTTAGCCCTGAAAACGCACAGAAGCCACAATCCCTCAGGTCTAGATGCGTGCGAATGGAGAAGGATATTAGCTCACTTCAACCAGACATCCATTGAGCTTTGCAAAAAAATTGCAAAGCTATCCTATACAATAGCAAGTAAAGTTCTCCCCCATGAAAACCTAACGGCGTACAACTCCTGTCGTCTGATATCAGTGGACAAAAATACAGGGGTAAGGCCCATTGTTAAAGGCGAGGTTCTGAGACTAATAAATGGCAAAACAATCACCCAATGTATAAAATAAGACCTCAAAAATCTCGGAAAAAATTTCCAAATCTGCTTAGGCCAGAAGTGTGGAATCAAATATGCTATCTAAAGCTTGAGGAACGAGTTTGATGAACCGGAAACGGACACCATACTACTTATTGATGCAGAAAATGCCTTGAGCTCGCTCAATAAAGAATGTAGAAATCCTTTGTCCGGCAAAACAAAATGCGCTGGCCAACTCATATAAACATCCCTTAAATTTATATGTCAATAGCACGGTTTTGACATCTACCGAAGGCACAACGCAAGGTGATCCCCTCGCAATAGTTATGAACGGAATTGGAATAATCCCACCGATCTAGCTCCTGCAAAAACCAAATGTCACCCCAAAAATGGTACGCAGATGACGGAAGCGCTCCAGGTGATCTTAAGAGTCTCCGTTCAATACTGGACATTCTGGATATGCACCGAAGGCTTTCGGCTACAATGTGAAGCCTTCCAAGTGTCAACTAATAGTAAAGAAAAAACGTCGGGAAAACGCCATAAAGGTATACGAAGGCTTAAATATTACAATGAGAGACGGTTTTAGAGTCCTTGGATCGGTTATAGGAAGACCATCAGCATGCGATAAATACAAGGCAAGCCAAATTGAAAAGACAACTACCCTAACTAAGAAGTTTTCCAAAACAGCTAAAACGTCACCACGAAATACACACTCTTGCTACACGAAGGCAGTTCAAAATAAATTAAGCTTTCTAACCAGAAGAACTCCCGTAGCATTTAAGAACATGGATGAAATTGAGAAAAACGTTGAACAGCAGCTATTTCCTAGTATTACTGGTAAAAACCATATAAATGATAAAGATCGCAGCCTTTTTGCACTACAACTAAGAATGGGAGAATTAGACCTCCTCGGTAACACGGACTTTTCCAAAAATTATGAGGTCACGAGCCATTTGTGATCCGTTAGAAAACAGTGATCCAGAAATAGCTGAAACGGAACAAACTCTGATAAATAGAAACATCAAAACTGAGAGACAGAACATCACACTCTCAAAAAAAGCTAGAACTATGGAAAACTGCTCATCAGAAAAAAAGCTGACAATAAATCTAGCATCACAGAAAGGAGCATCGAATTGGCTAATCGTGCTACCCATAAAAAAAGTACAATTTTTCCCTCAACAAATCAGAGTTTAAAGATAGTTTACCTCTGAGATATGGATGGAAACCACCAAACACTCCACATACTTGCCCATGTAGACAACCTTTCACACTGACCCACTCTCTACACTGCCCCAAAAATGCATGCACTCACCTACTACAAGATGAAACTCGTGATACCTTTGCGCCACTCCTGGACAAAAGTATGCCATGATGTTGAAATTTCAATCGTTGGAAGACGAAACGTTTTTATAACAAAACAGAGCCTGGTGCTGCTCCTCCACGGATCGAATCATACTCCGACACAATAATTTTAATGAGTACCAAAATAAGTTTTGCACTTGTGAGGAGTGCAATCCTATGCCTCATGTGGTGCAAAAAACTTTTAAATACAGACAATTCCATCAGTGCTATAATCGAGGAGGGTAGATTCTAAATGACAATTCTCTGGATGCTTTAAAATTGACTTGATTTATTCATAAAATCTTGCCGATGTATTTATATAGCGTTGATATGGCCCTATCCAACCTTTGCACGGACCGTTGCATTAATTTGGACCCCTTTTATATTTTTAAGTGCAAGTATTTTGAGAGTTTTGATATCTCGTGAACTTTGGTGTTCCACATTCGTTGGAGAATCTGTCTCATGTTTCATATATTTAAGTTATGGTCATAAACCTGCCTCAAATACCTACTCAGGAACGTTATTTCTCTTTTAGTCGACAGAACTCTCAGTGATCTAGAGCGGGACATCATAGCATTGCCAAGCTCAGCTGCTTGTTTAGGTCTGATAAATCCAACAGAATGTGCGTCTCGAAAACTCTGTCAAGCTGACAAACAAACTGAAAAACGCAATTATTGCTAAACAAGATCTTATTGACTACATGAATAGAACTGGACTAGCAGAAATTTCAGGATCGAACCGTAAACATGCAAAAGAAGCCCTCGAAATTGTGTATTCCCGAAGTGAGAATGAAATGAAGCGCACGCTAGACCTGCTACAGCCAAAAGGAACATCCGCATGGCTGACTTGTCTGCCATCTAGGGAGCAGAATTTTTACATGAACAGAGACGAGTTCCGGGATGCGCTATGTCTCCGATATGGATGGCACCTGAAAAGAATGGCTCAAACTTGTGAGTGTGGCGCGGCAAATGATATCGACTATGCCTTGATTTGTAAGTTGGGTGGTTTCGTCATAATGCGTCACAACGCTGTCCGCGACGTCGAAGCCGACTTTTTACGTAACGTGTGCAAGGATGTGAGCGTTGAGCCCGGTCTGATCCAATTGACGGGAAATGAAGAACTTGCAAGTGGAAGCAATCTGGAAGACAATGCAAGACTGGATATTTCTTTTCGAGGTTTTTGGGCGCCGCTGCAGAAAATGTTTCTTGACGTCCGTTTCACACACCCGAACGCTCCAAGTAATAGGAACCGAAAACTGAAGCCACTCCTAAAGACTCATGAGAATCGGAAAAAAGTCGAATACAACGACCGCGTTCTGCAGGTAGAGCATGCCTCTTTTACCCCCTTGATTTTTGCGACCAACGGCGCCATGGGTGAGGAGGCAGAGCGATATCATGCTATACTGGAGGAAAAAATGAGTGAGAAGCTGAACTGTACGTATGCGGACACTATGAACTATATCCGGAAGAAGCTCTCCTTCACCATCCTGGAAACTGCCTTGATAGCCTTGAGGGGACACCGGAAGAAACAGCAATACACGTCCTGTAGTACCCGAGCCACCGACAGAAACATTTTGTGCCACAATCAATAAACATACCTCATCGAATACCATTCCAGCATAAATTGTACACTTTCAGTATTTCTCTATACTTTATACCGATGGATAAATTGATTGCAGCCTCAAATACCTACTGAGATATCCCCCCTCCTCACTCGAGAATAGGGGATGGAAGATTGCCACTTTTGTTCTCATCTCGTCTCAGCCGATATTGAGAATCACGCTTTTAAAATTTCTAGATGTGGACGTTTTGTTCGGTTAATTGAAATCAGCACTGCAGTTAATTGCAAAGTATTTCAGAATCACTTTTGCAAACAACCACGCGACATAAATCTGTAAAAAACCACATCGTTCATAAACATTTCGTCTTTTATAGCTTGTAGCCCTGACAATCCGTTGAGATCAATGAAAAATTCCAACAAAACATCTACTTACTGTTTGAATAAAATTCCAGCATACTTCCCATGCACTTGATAATAACCCATGATTAGTGATACATTTTTCAAAGCTTCGTCGATATCTAAAAAAAGAAATTGTGAACCTCGTCGAATGAAACTTGCGATATGTTTACCGTATTGCATATTTCAGATCGAGCTAACTTTTAAGGTGATTCTGTAGGCCAGATGTCTCTTGATGAAGCGGTAATGTATTTCGCTCAAGCGATTTGAGCAACTTGAACAACGAATACAGTTGTTTATGCTGAAGCAAAAGATATAAATTAAATTTGAAATGTTTCACGACGGATGATCGCTTGAGAACAAGAAAAGTTACCATATTTTCGGATACTTCTCCATTTTTCAATTTTATTTCTTCAAATACTGACAGAGGAGACACATTGCTTTCTGTGTCCATTTTACCTGAAACTAGAATTTTGATTATACGCAAATTGACAAGGTTGCTTGATGAAGTTTGAAAAGAGACTTGAATCACGTTGTCAAATGAAAACTAACTTATTAAATAAACGCTGCATGAAAATTATGCACACAAAAATTTTGCAGGTAAAATTTTTTGCTTTGAATACTAACTATTTTTTTAATTTGCAAATTATAAAGGTGATCAGAAGGTCAAAAAAATCATAGTAACCGAGGTTACGGTCAGGAGTCCCTTCATCACGTATTCCAGTCAAAACCCTTGGAATTTTCTAGATATGGAAGTGATAATAATAAAAGAAGATGACAAGTGTTTACGTCCTTTTCAAATAAAATCGATACGGGTTACGTTTCTCCAATAAGAACACGCAACTCGACACGAGAAAATATAATATACAAGTGTTACAAGTAAATATTTCGTCGAAAGTTATTTTGTCATTTGTTGTTCCGAGTACGCAAGCGGCGTTCGCAATCTGTATTGCCAGGGAGATTCTCTGTTTTAAAAAGCTGCCTGCTCTGGGTTCCTCAGTGCATATGCTTAGGTTCTTACAAGCTTGCTCAAAAAAATTTGTGTGCTGGAGCCGGCCGCGCCCTGAATTTCAAAAGCTAGCGGTTGAAAAAGATATACATCATTTACAAGATCTCTATACTTGTCAATTTTTCGCTCTTCCGCTTCAGGGTTACAATGTAACATTCGTCTACTGTAGTCACACATGAGGCTTAAGAAAAATAGGCCCTATAACCATTGGCTCAAGAGTCATGAACACTATCTCTTGTGTTTTTCTACCTCAAATCAGTCGGAGCCAATTCGGTTCGCTTGTGACATGAGACTACGACCCGTTACAGCTTAAAGGCTACTACCAAAATATCCCCCCACTCTAGAAATAAGAACGTCCCCATACTTAGGTCTCTAGATACCCAAAATACATGAACGCCGTTAAAAACCGGGTCAGAACAATCCGTTAAGTTACTTTTTATCAGACAGTGGAACTTTGATCCATTTCAGATGGATCAACCTAAAACTCGCCTTACCTCAACATAACAATCATAAAACACACTCTAGAAATTTAAATTGAGTACTCACATCGTTGCACGCTCAAGAACTGGGAGTAATTAAGTCGGTAATCAACTCGAGAATTAAATAATGTAACTAAATGAGTTTAATGTTTATCAGTTTCAATAACAGGACCAAGTTTGAACTCTGGAGTATGGTTTCTCGTGAACCATTGGGACACTCAAGCTGTCCACCTTTCCATCGAAGGTTCACTCTAGTCCAGTTTGAATGATATTCCAGTCGAGTAATAATAGTCCAATTCTCGGGAATACGCTTCCTTCTGTTTCAGATAGGACAGCTCTACTCTAGTTTTATTGTGACGGAAAATGCGAATGGCAATTTCCTACTGCTTTGTCTGGCAACTTTCCCGCGATTGTTACTCGATCGTTCTGATTTCTCTTTTTCGGTTTTCAGTTATCGCGAGAAAATCGTGCATGACAGGCTCCATTCGAATTTTTGAAAAATCAAATTTCACTCCAAAATTAAGCGTTCTTGTTTTTCTCAAGGTCAAACTTTCAAATATGACCGACTGGCACATACTCCCCGGACTCAAGATCGATGTCCTCATCGCGTGCTGTCGTCTGCCAGTGAGTCCCAGAAAACCGAGTGTTGCTCAAGGTACAGTGCCAGTGGTCATTTACAGAAGTTTGCTGCAGACTTAAGCTTATCTACACCCCAAAATTCACGGCCATTTAAAATTTTCACACTATCGCTAAACAGCAATCAAAATCTGCACACACCTGCACCCTTGAATTCTCGCTTTTCAAGCCAATTATTTAAAATTTCTTTTGTCCCATTCAATCAGGAAATTGTCATGCAGCATTTTGATTTATATAGTAAATATAACATATTAATAACAATATCTGATTCGTTAAAATTTCTTTTTCGTGAACCCAGGTTTCATCCGGATTCACACTCAAGCCCCCCTTCCCTCTCAAGACTCAAGATCTCTTCGAACCATCCGCTCATTTCGCACTCTTCGCCTTGGAGGTGCCGTACCCTGAAGTAATAGATACGGCAAACTGTCTCAACAGTTCTTCTTCATCATCGGAGCTAATCACGATCTCCTCCCAAGCCTTCAGCTGTTCATAGGATTGCATCCATTCCCTTTGCTCCTGCAACCTCTTTGCCTGGTTGGGTAGTGCCTTCACCCTAGATTCCCGGTTCAAACAAAAGGAGTTGTGCAGGCTCAGGCTCACGTTCTTCGCCAAGTCCTCCTCTAGTATCGATTCCCTCGCTTTGGTATTGTCTCTAGACATTTTACCCACTCTTTCCCATCCTGTCGTGATCGCATTTCGATGGGTTAACAGGGGTCTCTTGAAAGCTTCCGGCCCAATCTCGGCCTGGAACTGTCGATACTCCTTTTGATGCCTTCTCATGTGATCTTTCGTTGTCATGTATAACCAAGACGTCAGTGTCGCTCGAAACCATGGAAAGTACCTCAAGCGGCTCCATACGTGTCTGACTTCCATTGGTATGGCGAATACTTTGCATGCAGTCTCAAACAACTCGAGTCTCCTGCTGTAGCCTATCGCATATATTGACTCAGCCGTTGGCGTCTTCGCTTCCCGATACTTCGTTATCTTCTCTTCTATCCATCTCAGAGCCAGCATCGTACTCACTACTAAGAGCGTCACCTTCTGCCGGTGATCCGGTAATCCGATCGACCGAATTTCTTCCATATCCCACACCAGGCAGAGGTTCTTGTGATCTGGATACCACACCGTTTGTGCCAAACAGTGGCATGGGCATTCTCCATGGGTGATCTCAATGCTCCTGAGGTTTCGCTCCCCCGAGGCTTCCAAGAGAGGCTCAAGCTCCATCATTTTCTCATGCATCGTGTCGTTCTCTCCCATGTTTGGAGCACCCCCCACAGGTTTTCCGATCACGTTTTGTCTCTCGTGATCGCTTGTGTTCTCACTTTCCAATTTCAAAAGCTCTTCTCCCCAGATTTCACTCAAGTCATCTCTCAACTCTTTCGGTACTGTCCCTCTGATTTTCCTCAACAACTTGTGCGAATGATGCGATACCCGAGCCAACCTTACGCACTTGGGCACTGAGAAGGCCTTGTCCACCAATATTCTCTGGCTGGATGCTTCCACCATCGCCATGTGCAGTGGGTAGTGGCTTCCACACAAATTGGCCATCATTGACCCTATCAGGGATTTTGCGTTCAATGGCAGGCCATAAGCTTCGCTCATGGGAAACCCCTTTTCCGCCTCGAGACCAACCTTCCAGCTCCGGATATGTTTTTGAGTCATCTGCAACACCCCAGGCCATGATTCCACGCTCAACGCAGTCACTAAATGGTGTTCAGACTCTAGCCTCTCCAGTGACTGCAGACTACACATTCTCGAGAAGAATTCGAGAGCTGTCGCTATGTTCACCGTAGTTCTCGCGTAACACTCCGCCACTATTTGTACTTCACTTTTCTCCCTTTCCGTGATGTCTTCAAACCAAGTAACCAGATCTTCTTTTTGAAAGGACAGTATCCTGACACATGATCGTCCATCGCAGGTGTGCTCTCCACTCCCACACGTAGAATCCAGACAGCTACCCGGCTCCATCTTCTTTGCTGACTCGAGATTGTTCGTCTTTTCGCCTGACTCCTTCATCTGAGGTAAGATCAGTTTGTGCACCACACTCAACTTTGCCAAATCTTCATCTTCCGTTGGTGCTAACCTCACCCGCTCGGTGGTCTCCTCGATCAGACTCGCGTGGGGATGTGGGCACCAGGAGGGTCTTAGTAACTTCCATACCACTCCCAAGTTCGTGATCAACAAGCCATTGCCATCACCCATGTTCACTTCAACTCTCTTGTTCGAGCGCGGTATGCTCACCACCTCCGGTGTTTTCTCAAGAATCAGGCCCAGGCTCGGCCTCTCTTTCTCCACCGCGTCTATTTCCACTATTTTTTCTGTCCAAAACTTCAGCAGCTCCGCTACCTCGTGGTTCCTGTGAGCGCCTCCAGTTTCTGAGTCTAAGAAGGGGTTGTTCCCCATCACTCCCGACACGTATTGGTATTCCCCCTTCTCACTGAGTCTCGAGTACTGCTCTGGCGAGGCCAGGTTACGGTGAAAATCATGTTCTTCTTCGAACTTCTTATTGTAAAAGTTCCGTACCTCGTCCAGCTTTCTGTGGTTCTCTAGGGATAGTCTGGAACCATCTTCCTTTTCTATTCCAGTACTCTGATATACGTTTAAGATGATCGTTGAGACTTTCTTTTCCACGGTTCTACTTCCGCTTGCTCTTTGGTAGCACGCCAAGATGGTGCTATCAGACATCATTGACATTATCCATCTCAAGAAACATGTGGCATCCTTCCTCCTAGCCAGGCTCAAGCCTGAATTATCCCTGGCCACGTGCTGCATCAGTGCTTGATACACTTCTAGCTTCTTGCTTCCCAACTTCAACCTGTCATACGAGGTCAGTGTCTCCAACTCTATTCCCACCAGACTCCAGGTGAACATCAATTGTCCTGCGGTTCTAACGAAGGGATTCGCCATCAATGGCGGTGTTGATGAGGGTGTCCTCATTGCCTCTTCAAAATGATCCTTCGATAAGTTCTGCCAGGACCTCTTCAGCTGGTTCGCCAATTCTATCTTGTTAACCTCAGCCTTTTGCTGGGTGGCCCAATTGCGTCGTTTGCGAGCTACTCCACTGTCCAACTTCTTCAAGCAGTCTTCCATTTCCTTCAATGTCTCGAGGGCCACCCACCATGGCCGGGAGGTGTTCCTCGTCTTGCTCCTCTCCAGTGGATCACTCGTCACTTGCTTCCCCGTGGCCTGGTGTCCCTTCGAGACCCATTCCTTGCCGACATCCACTTCCCATGTCTGTCCGTCCGTTGAACCTCTCTTCACGTTTATCTTCTGGGGCTTGAAGTCTTCCTCCGATGTCGAACTGGTGGAAGCCTCTATTTCCCTCTCTACTTCGAGTGGTCTTCTGAGCTCCGTGTTGCTCTTGTATGCCGCCGTCTTGCATCGCGCCAAAACCATGGGCGCCGTCTCTCAAGTTTCCTTCCGAGACAGCATCCACT